TTTCGAAGCCAATCACATGGACATCTGGTAAATAAGAATCTCTTCCTTTGGGATAAAAATGCTCCCTGCATGAGTAATTAATAAGATGTACTGTAGAAGCATGACCTACTGACCTGAACTACTGAATAACATGAATAACCTCAAACAATCACATTTCTAAAGGTTTAAAAAAAACAGAAATAAAACAGCAGCCATTCACAACTCAAAAGTCCAAGTCATGTAAGATTTAGTCACATATCATGATGCCATTTCAAGTTTCACAATTTGTTAACAGCTTCTCTTATCAAATGTCTCAATATCTCGAAAATAAGAAACCTCCTGTCTCAGAGTGATGGTGAAAAACTACTTCAGTCATTTATTACTTCTGGGCTGGGCTACTGCAATTGATTATTATCATGTTGTTCTAAAAGCTGCCTGAAAAGCTTTGAGTTGCTGCAGCAAGAGTACTGACAGGTAATATAGAGAGAGTCCTTATTTCCCCCAAATTGGATTCTCTTCAGTTCTCCCTGTTAAACCCAGAATCAAATTTAATTCTTCATATTCAAGGTCCTTAATAATCATAAACATCTTATCTTAAAGACCTCATATCATCCCAATAGAGAGCTTTGCTCTTGGATTGCAGGCTTACTTGTAGAAGTAAGAAGCAATAATGATGTGTTCTAAAATAATACAACTATGAAGCAAACAGCAGGCTAGTTTTCTGCTTGTCTCCAACTATATCAGAATGAGAAACTGCTCATGCTGTAATGATTGTCATCTACACTGAATTTAATATTTGTAAGCATAAGCATTTCATTTTTCAAATGATGTATGATTTGAATCTTATATTCAAAAAGCAGGTGGAAGTTTTATTTTCTAGCATGAAGGGTTTAATGAGCTGTTCACACGAATGTAGAGCCTGGCAATGGAGCTAAAATCGCTCTATTAGATAGGTCTCAAATCCACCTGGACAGTTACTCAGTGGCACAGTGGAAGCTGAAGATTGGATCTGACCACAGATGTAAGAAAAATGAATGAACTGACTTCATCATATACTCACCTCTGTGCACAGGGACTGTGGCTTGGTGCATGGTGGGTTACACGATCGGTCTGCCTTTGGTTTGGCTGTTGTAAGGCATCCACCTGTGGAGTAAAGTTCAAAAGGTCAAACCAGAGGTTTGATGTTCTGTTTGGTTCTTTTTTTGCTTATTGTTTATAGTGAGTTATATATCTTTTTTTAATATCTTGAGCCTTAGTTCTTCATTTGAGTTTCTGTTTATTTGTCTTTGTAATCTACTTAGGGTTTACTTTGTATAGTCTCTTGCGTTGTTTTCATAGCCTTCCACCTTCCTTGTCAAGTATAAGTTATTTGCAATAAACCAAGAACCTCTCAGGTTGTGTCAGGTTTCCCAGCAGCACAAATCCTGTCACAGTGTTGACCAAATTCCCGAAGTGATTTGTCACACCTGTCGCATGATCCTTTGTGGATATCTTCGGAGCTGCAGCCAAGGTGTGCCAGTGGAAGAGTGGGCTCTGTAGCTGCTCCCAGCATCGCAAGGCAAGTTTAAGCACGTCTGTGATTTTGGATCATCTGGGCCTGTCCTCTAAAGATCACCGCTGCCAGTTCCTTGGAGAGCCAGATGAAAGCGTGTGATCGCCCCTTTGACTAAACTCAGAGGCTCTGGGAAGCTGCAGCGAGGTGGCCTCCCAGCACCCTCCATATTCAGTAATTCAGTATGTCCTGGACCTCAGTGGCAAGTGGGGCGTGTTGACTATGAAGTGTTGTGGTCGTACAGGGGTCACACAAATTAACCACCTCCTTAAAGCATGGAGAGAGGGAGAATCCATTTCTCCTGTTAGATTGGTAAAGGATAGAGATGAGTTGGGGTCGGAGGTGCCAACTTCAACCATTCCCACCTCTCTCCTTGTGACCACCTTCTAACATTGGCCCAGAGAGCAGATGTTGTGTGTCTGTTGTCTCCCCTGCCCAGTTGCACCGCTCTCATTGAACACCACTTTGAGACTAACCCTGGGGTGGTGCTGGTTTCACAGCTCTACGGGTTACCTGAACACAAAACGTAAAGAGTTCAGAGGGAATTGGCTGAAGAAAGATGGGTCTATGGATTTTTGATGGATTTGACCAAAGCTTACTGGCAGATTCCCTTTTCTCCAGAGTACAAGGAGAAAACGGCCTTTTCCACTCCGTATGGGTTGTACCAACTGGTCATCCTTCCTTTCAGCTTGCTGGCGCTTCGGCCACTTTCCAGCAGGTGCTGTGTCTGCACACTACACAGGCTGCCACCTATCTGTATATGTTATCATCCACAGTGACACCTGGGCAGAGCATATGCAGCGGGAAGTGTGTGGTCAGATGAAAGGAGGTACAGTATATGGGGTACCAACTGGGAGGCAGGCAGGTGCACCCCAGATAGACGAAACAGCAGCCATTGAATGGACTGATTCTTACATAGTACTTTTCTACACTGAGCACTCAAAACATTTTGCACAACTTGCCTTATTCACCCATTCACACAAGCACTTTTCTCAGTGGTCTTTCTATGTAAGGGCTTCTATCTTACATTCACACACAGTCATATTCTAATGGATGCACCGAGAGCGTCTTGGGGTGAGTATCTTGCCTAAGGATATTTGGCATACAGACTGGAGCAGATGAGGATTGAGCCACCAATCCTCATCTGGTTCCCATTTAATAGGTAGCCTGCTCTACCATCTGAGCTACAGCCACCCCTGAATGTTATGTTAAAATGCCCGTGAGTAGGCCATGAGTTGGGTAATGGGGCTGTGTGCCAATGGAATGTGGCTTTGCGGCTCAGCTGCAGGGGAGGGGTGTAGTCCAGTGGGTTCAAAGGCAGTGCCTGGGGAGGCTTGCGGACACAGCTGTCAGCAATGGTCTAATGATGCTTAGAATAAAGTAATGGGAATGATGTAGACAGTGTGCAACTGACACTGACAGAAAAAATGCAAGTCTGCAAAAGCATGGGGATCCAGCAAGGCTACTGAATATTTATTAGGTTGTGGGCTCTGGAGGAGAAATCAATATTAATATTCATGAAAGGAATGCCACTGCTTACAAGCAAAAAATCTATGAAAAGGGAATAACAATGTGCATTGTGCCAATCACAGATGCAAGGGCCAGCACAGCATCTGGAGCATCAGATCTACTGATATTTCTTCATGTATACAAAAATATGAATGAATTGGCTATTTGGAAAAGAAGTGGATGCAAAGTGCTGATGGTGATGGACAGTAGGCTTCAATCATCACCGTGGCACTGCTGGGGATTGAAACACATCTGTTATCTGGATCTCAAATTCTCTTTCCAGTAATGCTTGTGGGGAAGACTGTTTTAGGAAAGCTTATGCACATTGTCACCCTGCTAATCACAGAGCAAATCCCCATGTCAAAGATTTATTGCGGCAACTCATGCACACACTCACATTTACATCTGCTCTGTCTGAGATCAGGCTGTAAACTGGTCTACAATGGCAATTTGAGCATTCAGTAAATCGAGGGTTTTAAAGAACAGGCACTGAATTGGGAAAAGAAAAAAGAACTGACAGGGAGACTGTAGCTCATTTAGTTCATTTGTTCACTCAGTAAACACGTTCTTATTACCTGTGACATTGAGACCATCTGAACGCTCACACCAGACGTGCCGAGACGAGCCTCTCCACGGTCCAGATTTCCACTTGTAATCAAAACATTCACCGTCTACAGAAAGGATATAATCAGATGTTTTTGTTTAAAAAAAATGTTTTTTTAATTTAAAATTAAATTATATAAATTATATGAATATTGTCGGTCCTTTTCACCACTTTTATTTTTTGTGTAGCTTACACTTACATTTCTTAGTGTAAGAAAAAAAACAGGAAAAGGGGCAAAACTATATCAGTGCTTAAATGTCTGAATTAATTGCAGTTCACATTAAAAAACATCCTTTGACCGGGACTATTGTGACCTGTACACGGTCGTGCTTCAAGCTCTTGTTCTGGACACTGCAGCAGGTTCTCTGGATCCTGGGCCACCACGGCTCTGGATCGAACTTGGACTGAACCGAAGCCCAGGTCAGCTCCATTTATGCAGCTTAGCTGGCATGAACTCCAAACAGTCCAGTCTGTCAAGTAGCACTCTCCTACAGAACAGAAATCAGTTAATCAGTAAACCAAAATGCAACATCACTGTATGATGTAAAAACTAAGTTAGTGATAAACACAGTGTCCATAATTAAGAATCCATAATTAAAGTTTTAAGTGTTAAATTTTAAGTGATAAGTGCATATCCACAGCCTATTCATGGCTTTGGGAGATTATATCATGTGCTGTTAAAATGTAATATTAAGCTAGTTAAAGGAAAATAAAACGTGAATGAAATGGCACACAAATCTTACACATTATACATTCTTTAAAATGAGCATTATGGTAGCCATCCATAATGTTTAGAAAGGCACTATACAGTGGTTATTAAATATTTATACCTATTTCTGGGGGTTCCTTCCAGGAGAATCTTTAAATCAAGTTTGCAAACTGATTTACTAAAGAAATCAAAACAGCTGGTCTCATTTTTCCTGCTTGATATAGTGGAAGTCATCGTGTGTCGAGGAGGCATTGTGTCAGGGTCCTGGGTCATTTGACCCAGCGTTTTGTGTTTATCATTATTATCATACTATGTTCTGGTTTATTCTGATTATGTATTTGGGTTTAGACTTTGAGTTCTTCATGTTTTGGTTCTGTGCTTCCTCTGTCTGCCCGTGTGTTCCCTCCCTGTTGCTATGTCTGAGGTCTTGTGTCAAGCTCGTGTCTGTGCATACCTGGTGTTGTTTTTCCTGTTTTACTTTGATAGTCTCTGTCCTGTGTGTAGTGTGTCTGGTTTTGCTTCCCCTTGTCTAGTCAGCTTTGATTAGTCCCAGCTGTGCTCTCCTTCTGTGTCTCATGCCCTTGTTATCCCAGTGTGTATTTAAGGCCTGTGTTTCTCTGTGTCAGTGTCGCATCGTTAACGTCTGCTCACCATCCTCCCTCGCTGTGTGTTCCGTCTGCCTGCCTACTAGTTTAGTTTTTGTATTCCCAGTTCAGTTCAGTTTGTGCACAGCAATAAAGCTGTTTAAGTTCAGCTTTTGTCTTTGGGTTTTGGAGTCTGCGATTGGGTTCTTTTCTGCCTGCCCGCACACAGACCATGACACATTGCAGAGATTATAGAGCAGATGCTAGAAAAGTGAGACATTTACCCACTGTAAAAATAAACTTGTCAATCAGGCATTTCTGGTTCATTTTAGTCCTTCAAGGGATCTATGTTGGTAAATCACCTGCAGCTGAATATCATCTCTTACTTTGCACTAAACTCTGCGGCTCATGGCAGAGAAAGATTCAATGATTAGCATTAAGTAACAGCACTAGAACTGACAGGAAAAGAGAGCTCAAATAAAGTCATCCTCCCAAGAAGTAACAAATGGACATTTTTTACCATCATTCTGAGACAATTTTTCCTGTTATAGTATTTATATATATGCTAATTTAAAGTCATATCCTGAAGGACAACGTCAAGATAGAACTGAAGGTCAAAACTATCCAAACTATGCAGAGGAATTTAACTGGATATGACATTATCTGGGGGTGATGTATAATGTGAAAACGTCCTAGCACAGAATTCTGTGATTAACTATTGTGTGTAAGCAAGGCTCCTTATTTACATACAAAAGTCAGAATCCATCAGATGATGAAATATTTAAAACCAGCACAGCAGAATTTCTTTCAATATCAACAATTTAGTCCGTGTATTTAATAGTGAAGCACATTAACTGTAATACTTGTGTGAATAGTCTTGGGTTTGGGTCCAATAGTAACAGACAAGTTACTGTTACCTCAGCAAGCGACTGCTCTTTATTAACAAAGAGGCTGTTGGATTCAACAACAACCTACCTGGACAGGGTACAGTACAGGGTTCCTGCAGAACTATTTGTGTGTTTCCTTCTACTGAGGGCTCCAGATCTCCACACAGTTCATCGTCCACCGCACTACCATCCTGTCGACCTGAACCGTCTGACACAAAGCACGACACATTCCTGAATCTCAGACCTTCTCCACACCTCGCTCCCTAATGGAAAAGCAAACAGAATTACTAAATATGGATACAATTCAATCTACATTTAACTTCTGTAGTACAGTCAGCTTGCTGGTAGCTTTAATCACATTCAGCTACTAGGCCTTAAAATGATTTTAAACCATTTGTGTTAGTCCTTGGTAAGTTTAAAAATTTATTCTAAATATAGTAACAAACTACTGGTACTGGTACTACTGATCACCTGCTGTTTGAAATGAGTTAAATATTAAACTATTATAACAATAATAACAATAATAATAATAATGATATCCTTCAGGTTAACATGGCAATTTAAAAGGAGAGGCATATAATAATAATAATAATAATAATAATAATAATAATAATAATTAGTCAAGACCAGAGATGGGCAGTAACGCGTTACTCGTTACTTTTTTCAAGTAACAAGTAAAGTAAGGGATTACTATTGCAAAAACGGTAATTAGATTACCGTTACTTTCCCGTAGGAACGCTGCGTTACTGCGTTATTAAAACCGTGATTTTTTTGC